CCTGTTGGCAGAACAGCAACTGTGGAACTAGAACCCAGCATGAGTACAAGAAATACAGGTGACATTTTTCCTTCCCTTCATGCAGAAGTTCAGCATGCTAATGAAAGCTGAGTCATGGCAACTGGACTTCTTTTTTATTAGGTTGAAACATTTCAGCTACTACTCATCCAAGTAACTTGTTCAGACTAAAGAAGCTTCTTCAGACTGAGGAAGCTACCATATTTTTCTGTGTATAAAATGACACTTTTTCTTGCGGCTGCTGTCTCTGCTGCTGGTTGTGGGCTCAGTGATCATGCAGTCCTTTGACCGCTGCTTTCCCCTTCCTTTTGCTAAGCCCCATGGCTGGGGAAATTTTCTAATTTGGGGTTAGAAAAGGGTGGTGGTGGTCATCTTATATATCATGTCATCTTATGAACGGAAAAATACAGTACTGTACTTGGATGAGTAGTAAAACATTTCAACCTAATAAGAAAGAAGTCCAGTTGCCATGATTCAACTTCCAGTTAACCTCACCTGGATGACTGAGAATCTTCACAGTTACTACCTGCTAAAGTAAACAGATCTACAGGAAGGCAAGCAAACTGCTTTACCCCAACCCCTCTGGGCTGATGCTGACAAGGGAGAAGTGAGGAAAAAGGCAGCATTTTAATATTTCTTCCCTGATCCTCTTTTATAAACTGCCCCTTTCCACTGATTCTAGTAGGAGTGAATTGGGAGTGAACAGATCCATAGCAGTTTCAGGGCTGCTGAAGATCTGTTGATGTGTTGCAGAGCATATTTGAAGAACTAAGAAGGAAGTTGGTCCTACAGGTCCACAATGTCTCTCAAGCTGTCTCAAGTACAGCTCCTTTCTGCCTTCTAGAACATCAGAGGTCCGATGTAAAAAAAATCGTATGTGGAAATTTCCATATCAAGATTTCAAGAGTAGTTCTTGCCTCTGATGGTGGACCCCCAGAGGGGAAGACTAATATATTCTACAGTCTCTGGGATATTCTCTCAGCATCCAGGAACTGAGAAAACAGGAAAGAATTTACACTCCCTCCCTCTCTTATTTGCATTGTACAATGTATTTCAATTGAAGATGAGTAGAAAAAGGACAAAGCAAACAGACATGTCGTATTCTGCGTACAAATGTACAAGAGTCCAGAACTGTGCCCAGTGGAGAAGGAAGGAACTAAAGGTTGTCAGATTCCTTTCTGACTTCAGTGTCCAACTGGTGGTTCATTAAAAAGTAATAATAACTCACTACCATTATGCTTAATAAATGACAAGAAATCATGTACGTGTTAAATAGATAAACACTACATTGCTAGTAAAACAGATTGTGCAAACAGTTCAAGGAGCTGGCCCGATGCCCACATTTACTGAAGAATGTTTATTAAATTATTAAAATTTATGGGCTGATAACATGCTTATATAATTTATTGCAGCTGTAAAGCCTTTCTAAGTTTTGGAAAAACAATAAAGTTGATTTAATAATCCTTTAATCTTATACTCAACTTCCTCCGGAATTTTCTTCAACGACACCTCATAAATAACAATTTTTCCTACATTAGAGGAACCCTAAAACAAACACTCCAGGAGATTTCGTCAGATTCGTTTATTTTGTTGAGTTAACCAGGAAGCACAACACGCTCAGAAATGGCCCTTACAAATTAAGCCTGGAATGTTATTAAAGAAAAAAAAGAAAAAAATCCATCTGGTAGTGATAACACTCAACACCTCTCATCAATGATGCTGGATAATGATTCTAAGAAGAAAATCAGACAAAATGTATGTGCGGTGTGTGAGTGCACACAGAGTTATTTCAGCTGTGTAAAAACAAATGTTTTATTTTAAAAATCCCAAATGATATCAATATGAAAATTATTACTATACAGAATATGCACTATAGGCAATGAATTAGTACAAATTACCTTAACACAAAGCTTATCGCTATCTGATACAAATCAACAGTAAATGTGCACATTTATTGGATACCTTCCTAGAACTGCTCCAATGTTGGAGTCTCTGAAATATCCAAAGTCCTGCTGGGCTTGCACTGAGAAGAAAGAAGGAGTAGAAGAGCGCTCCCTCCCTCCTTCATAAATTCGATTCTTCCTTCTCTTTAAGCCCAGGGAGAATTTTCCAACACCCTTGGACCCACTCACTCTGCCCTAAGGCATGATGTGACCCACTTCCAAGAAGAAGGAGATAAAGGCTATGCTTCGAAAACACACAAAAGACCAGCTAATGACACCCATCAACCACAGGAACAGATAATCTCTTCTCCTTAGCACAACAATACACCCACAACAATACACACTAATCACCCATCTACAGAAAAAGTCAAAGGCCTATCTCACAGCCATAAATACTGCACCCCCAAACCCAACTACACCAGAGCACAGAGTGCTGTCCTCTGAAGATGCCGGCCACAGAGACTGGCGAAACGTTAGGAAGAGCAACCTTCAGAACACGGCCAAAGAGCCCGAAAAACCCACAACAACCGTCAAATAAATAATCCTTTTGTGGAAAAAAGAAAGTGTTGCAGAGTTTTGAATTTTTGGTTGAAAAGTTCTAGCTGTTCGGCAGAAGTGCAGGGAGCTACAGAGCAGATTTAGCATCAAGTGCCCCCACAGTAGATCACCCCCTCTTGCTCTCATCAACTGGCACTTATAATCTCAATAACTTACTCTGATACACTGGAAAGAGAAAGAATTTTTTAAAAGTTTCAGTTACTTACAGTTGAACAGATCAAAACAGTACATTGTATAAAACAGTACTGTTTTGCAGTAATAGGCCTCGACAGACTCACTGCTGACTGCTTCTGCAGAGTCTCAGACAACATTCGCATAACTGCACTAACTGCCAGCAGACTAAAATGGGGGAGCAGAGAGACAGAAAGGTGTGGCTCTCTTTGAAATCAAAGGCAGGGGAGGAGCAATTGGTTACTGCTGTATTGAGAGTCGCTCTGGCCCAGAAAGGCCATTCCCAACCAAATCTCCTAAAGCAGTCGTTCCCAACTTTGGGTCTCCAGATGTTCTTGGACTACAACTCCCAGAAATCCTAGTCAGCGTTACAAAGTTGAAATAATTCCAACACAAAGTTCTTCTACAAACACTTCTAATGTTAAGTTTTACCTCTGAGAAGCTGTTGGATAATTTCTCAATCTCCTGAAGAAATTTACTGATGTTATTTCCCCAGTTTCTTTTGCCAAAAACAAGGTGGAGAATTGCGAAAGGTCATTTGTGCACAACTCGGACAGTAACCGGTGGACTCTATATAAAAAATATGTTAAAGATCAGGATCCCAGTGAAATAGAAATGCTCAGTTTCATTTCTGCTGCAGTTCTCCCGATGGAAAATGCTTCTCCTTTTCTATTGTTTATGTTACAAAGGATGTCAATGTTGGAAAGGCAAAACTAGGAGATGGCCATTCGAGGAAAGTTCAGTGGAATGAAAATATGGCCAGTGGGAAATGAACGATGGGAGGAGCAGGATGCATCCCAGGCCAGTAACCTTAAATTTTAATAACTCTGAATGCCACATTGGCTCCAAAAAGAGTGCAAATTGGTTACACACTGTGAACTTTTCTCATTCATGCACAATTGTGCATGGGTGTGTTTCACTGAAATGTTTAAATGCATAGGTAACCCCCTATTCCTGAAAAGAGAACAAGATATAAAGCCTAATTTATAGTAAGTAGCTAAATTGTTTATCATGAATGTTAAGTTATTTACCAAGAGTACCTACAGTTCTCCAAGTGCCAACACTTTTGGAAACAAAATGGTGCTATTCACAAACAAGAGGATGGTTTCAGCAGGCTCAAGGAAACTGCAAGAGTTATAAAAGTACAAAAACAAAAGGGGGAGGAATAAAGACCCCAAAGCCCATGTGTGCTCAATTGGCATGAAATACTGAATGTTAATGGCACATGGAAAACCAGCAGTGGAATGGAATGGATTAGAATCAAATGGAATGGCTAGCACCATAAACAGGAGAACTTCACATTTATTTGCTTGTTTATTTGAGGATCCCACATGTACGTGCATAATATGCGTACAGAGAGAGATTTTAAATAATCAAAGCTGAAAATATTCCAGTCTTCATTCTAATATTTTTTTACTGATATTCCCATCTGGGTTCCGATGGGGGAAATAAATCTGAAAGAGATGGCAAAAGTACTAGTTGTAATCATTACCACACGTAATGAATGAGACTTTCCAGGTTTTGTCCAATATAAGCAAATGTGCATACTCAGTCTGGATGGCATAAATCAACTTCATTGGGCATAAACATCCAGGTCATTGTAGTCTTCAGCAAGCAAGAAACCTATCAACATTCAGGTAATGTTTTACTTTTTTCCCCCATTTAGAAATGTTCCATGTTTTTATTATCTGTATTAAGGACAGATGTGTTTTGTTAGTGTTACAGTTACCATTTTTCAAATGTATCACTGACATTTTATATGCTATGCCCCAAGGGTCTTCCTAACCAGAAATAAACAAACTGTCTCCTTTAAGAGGAATCTGAGGATCAAATGTATGCCAAAGATAAAGTGTTTATTTAAAAAGAACACAATTTTAATTGAACAAACAAGAGCATTTTGCTTTTTTGTTCATACCTTTTTAAAAACACTTTTCACATATTCATTAGAATTTTTAATTAATTTTTACTGCATTAATTTCCCCCAGAGATAGTGAGTGAAATAATTTCCTGGGATGTGGTTAAATTATTCCTATAGCCTTCCAAGCAGCTGAAACAAAAATGTAACATTTGGTACTATAAAAATCTCCACTGTTTTGACCAACATTGCAGGTTGTCATGGAAGTGAAGATTTTCAGAGCAGATTAGTCAGTCAGAGGGGTTTCCCAACCCATATGGCTTCTTACCTGAAGATCTATCAATTCAGAGAAGGGCTGCCTGGCATAAATCCTCCTAGACTTTCAGATTTAGATACAGAAGTTTCTATGACTGAACCTTGTCACTTATTGCACTTTTTCCTTCCTCCCTCTCCAGGTGAGTGGAAAAAGTCTCCTTGATGACAGCAAGAGCAAATACCAGGGAAGCCTATGAAGTCTCTTTGGAAAACCTAACTCTCCAGGCCTGGACTGGTGCCATGGATAATATGCCATTGCCAACAGCATGCAGCTGGAACTACACAATTGCAATAAACTGTTATCCTTAGACATCTTTAGTTGCAGCATTTTTTTCCCCTATTACAGTGGGGTCTTGACTTGAGAACTTAATCCGTATTGGAAGGCGGTTCTCAAGTCAAAAAGTTCTCAGGTCAAATCTGCATTTCCCATAGGAATGCATTGAAAACCATTTGATCCGTATCTGCTCTTTTCTGTCCATAGAAACTAATGGGAAGCTGCTATTCCGCCTTCGACCACTAGAGGGGATTATTTTGTTTCTTTTTTTCTTAGGTCAAGAAAGGTTCAGGGAAGGCAGGGTCCAGGCAGTACCAGGCAGTCGGAAGACTGTCTCCCAATCCACTCTCTAAACGCTGGGAGGAGTGAGGAAGCAGACCGGCACCCTTTTCACTGGCCAACAGTTAACTGAAAGTTCAAATTTTGCACTTTCCCTGCCTCCCACGTCGGTTTTTTTCAGTTCTTAACTCAAATCTAAGTACTTAAGTCAAGTCAATATTTTCCTACGAGAGCGGTTCTTAAGTCAAAATGTTCTTAACTCGAGCCGTTCTTAAGTCAAGACCCCACTGTATTTCATCCAATATACCGCAGTATGAGTGGGTGTGTATTCTGTTGCCATGGGCATATTGGAGGCTGGGTGCACCATCACATGGAAGGAGTATTGTACCTTGCTTCTTAAAAAGGTGTTTACATGCAGCTTGCAACATGCTTTTTAAAATATAGGCTTAAAATAGTCATTGGTCCTCTACGTGTGCACATAGAGGCACAAAGTGAAAAAGATAGAAAGACACAACAGCAGTCAACGGGGTACAAGGTGTAGTGGCAAAAAAGGAGAGGTGGAAAAGCACTAAACAACCCACACAAAGACACTACAAAACAATACAACAGATAAGCCATGCTTTCAAAAAGGTATAAAAAAGCAACAGATAGTGATGGAATAAAGCATTTTAGTAAATGCTCTTTCATGCTTGAATTCTACTTGCCCATATTGCTAGGTGAAGAGAGATTAATGAAACACTGACAGTGAAATTCCATGGCCTACTGAATGTTAGATGATGCCAAAGATGATCATGTTAACTCATGGTCAAGTTAGCCCTCTTGGCTACAAGAAACAACACCCTGGGTTATACCTTCTGTTAAACGGTTTCTAATTTTGATACAGCCAGAACCTATGTGTTTGAGATTGTGTGAGGGAAACTGCAGGGTAGGGGTGGCATGTGGATTGAAGCAGAGGGCACCTCATGACAAAATGTCAAAGGGAGACACTTCCTTTGCCGTAATCATGAGTCCCCTTACTAGCCACACTCACTCATTGCCCAATGCATTTACATGGCTGTCCCACTGTTCTTCATCTGTTGAAAACAGCAACTCTTCAAATGTTACTTTTGAGGCCACATCTCTCAGAATACACAAGGCAGTGGTTGAGGACTCTGGAATTTACAATCCCTCAAAGCTTTACTATTGAAAAGGGAATGTCTGAAACAGATAAGCAGGGGCTATAGCACGAACTGTATGGACTAAACGTGATGGCACTGCACATCCTTTTAGAGACCAGAATATTCCTGTATGGTCTACTGTCCCTAAACTTGGAAAAAATCACTTTCTGAACTATTATTCCCTCTGGCTGTTGTGGGTTTTTCGGGCTCTTTGGCCGTGTTCATAAGGTTGTTCTTCCTAACGTTTCGCCAGTTTCTGTGGCCAGCATCTTCAGAGGACAGCACTCTATTATTCCCTCTGTTCATGGACCTTTCCAGAGCTACTGGCCATGCTGGCAAGAAAAACCTGGGACTAATGGTCCCTAAAAGAAACATTTTGACGCTTTGGTTTGTCTTCATTGAGGATGAAAGAACTGCCATCAGCATGCTGATAGCATCAAGGAGCTTATGGCATTTTCCCTGTTTGCTCTAAGTTACAGAACAAATGTCTTTGTCCAACATCCTGTGACATGTCCCACTTGTATGGCGCTCTTCACTATCTCTCACTTGCTGTTACTGAAGCTGGAGATCACCTTACTGAAATACATGGGCTAGGTGTGGATAATTTTCCACACAAGCTTAGTAGAAGCCTATGCAATAGACCACTGCACTGTGCTTGAACTGCTCTCCAAGCAGGTGGGCTTTCACAAAAAATTATTGAATCTTTTTGTATTTCTATCGTATGATTTACTGTATGTTGTGAAATGCCCAGAATGTAATAAAGTTAATGGGGCAGTATAATAGGGAAAAGGAAAGAGAGAGAGAGAAGGATGATGCCCATAAAACACATTGCACATCTTGGAATCTCATAAGTATGGAGAGCAACTACAAGTATGCTCACGTATTTCTCACTGTCTTGTTCTCAAACACATGTGGAAAGAGTTGGGAGCTTTATGGAACCTTCAAGTTTAGGCAACCTAAATTAGCCAAATCTTTTTATTGAAACTTCCGAATGAGCTAAAAGCAGAATTTGAACCTAAAGATCTCAGAATCCTCCACCTAGCATAGCCACTGGTTCTGGAAAGATGTATGGGCAGATGCACAACAGTGTAACTCCCTTAGTCATTGCTGTGCTGTTTGAAGTACTCTATAACTGACAGAGTTAAACCCTGAAAGAAGAAGAGAGGGGTGATGGCTCAGTGGGACAATTAATATTTTGTAGCATATGCAGGTAGGGTGTAAAAAGAATTCTGCCTGAAGCCCTGGACAGTCTCGCTGTTGAGAGCTGATGATACTGGGCTAGAGGGACTGATGGTCTAAGTCAATATAAGATAGCTTCCTATGTTCCTTAATTGGCCTTCTCGGCCACACTAGATGCTGTTCCAAGACCTCTGTTCAGAGCATGTTACCATAGTCTCTTGAGACTAAAGGATGCCTGCATGTATGTGTGTTTCTGAGTATGGAAAAGTCATGCTATTACACTACATGTCCCAGATGCCAATGCCTATGTTGGGTGGGGGATTTGAGGCATCGCTGTCCAAAGGAATATGTTTCCTGTACTCTGGTTTCCAATAAGCAACAAATGCTGTGCTAGAGACAAAGCAGTAAGCCTTATCATGAAAAGCATATTTCAGCGGTGTATTTGTTGCTATTGAGACAGAGTTTCAGCCCTGGATGAGGAGGGAGAATCAATATTAATCTGCCCATACTTGTAATGGAAGGATGTGGTCACATAACGTATTGCTTGAGAGTGCCAGGCTCAGGTTGGAGCCCAAAGACAGATTCCTGTATGTTTGCTATGGAAACAACAGACCATAACATTGTATTTGATATGGAAAAATCAATCACACTGTTGCTAGCTAGAAACCATTCAACTCTGAGACAAGAATATAAAGTACCTCAAGCAGTTGTTAAACAGAAGAGGTTTCATGATTATTTAATCACTTTAGAGGTCAAACCAATTAAAATATCATCTGTCAATACTTCCCTCTCAAGATTTGTTTGCTTTAGGAATGAATGTTTTTGTGGTTATCTATTGTTCTTGATTTAAATGGTGATGTTGCAGAGTAATAAAATATCAAAGCAAAACCAGTGCTGGCATGAAATACAATATGGTTTTTCCAAGCAGAAATAACTTACTTATTTCATTTTATTTCAGAGATTAATAAGGTAGCTCTTCTAAAGTGACGTACAAAATTAAAACCATAAAGACCCATAACAAAGCATCGATAAAACAATAACCATAAACTATAGAATGTTACAATTAAGCCCATTTCTCATATGCACAGTGACTTTCAGAAAAGTCTCTCAATTATATGCCACACAGGGGTAGATTAGATATAAGTCTATATATGAAGGTCTCTCATGACAGAACTTCGTGGTCAATATTAACCGAAACAGAGGTCCAGGAACAGGGGGGCACTCTTAGAAAAATATATTCCTTGTCCCCATTAGCCTAATTGTTTTGATAATGGTAACACAACCAAGGTCTGCAGTAGTTACTTCACAGTCTGGGTAGCTTGGTATGTTTGAAAACTGTCCATTGAGCAGTACCATAGCTATTGGCTTTGCTCGGGTCATCTGAGTTTAGCACATGTGGCAAAAGGAAGGACTGCATTTAGTCTCCTAAACATTCATAGTTTAGCAATACCCACGGCGACCATAAGGAATGTGTGTGTGTGTGTGCATATTGTCTGTTGCAATGAAAACCCAAATCACACACTACCCTAAGTTTTACTTCAAAACACATTTGTTGAGGCTTCTAAATTCTTAATCAGAGTATAAAAATAGTGAACTTTGTTATTTTTTTAACAGATTAATTCCATTTTCAACTGTATCCTAGATCGTATCTAGTGAAAACCCTATACACTATATACTTACAAATAACTACCAGAGTCACAAATACTCCTTATGCACAGCATTAAATGATCTATTTCTGTAAAATGGAAGATGTAGCAGGTGCTTGCGGTGCAAAATGCCTTCTTTAAATGTGTCACAAAATTTCTTTCCTGATTTCTTCTTCTAATAATGCTCACTTTTAAATACAGTGGTGCCTCGCTAGACAGTTACCCTGCATGACAGTTTTTTCACTAGACATTGACTTTTTGCAATCGCTATAGCACTTCACAAAACAGTGATTCCTATGGGGGAATTTCGCTGGACAATGTTTGGTCCCTGTTTCGCAAACCGATTTTCGCTAGACAACAATTTGCTTTTCGCTAGACAATTATTTTGCTAGACAGCGATTTCAGTGAAATGGATTATCATTGTCTAGCGAGGCACCACTGTACAGAACTAGCAAAACAGTTAAATGGGACAAAATACAGCCTGCTTGGGTATGCTTCTAATGCTCATTTTATGCTCCTTGGAATTAATCAGTTGTAGGAAATGGTACGACAATAGCAGACCTTACGATGCTGAATGTTTTACAACTAAGCTGTTTCTTTCCAGCCATCATCTGCCACCGTGACCGAACAACTGATGG